AAAAAATATATGGATTTAAGTCTTCTGGTATTACTTAATACTTATTGTGAAGTATTACAAATTTACATTTGTAACATGTATTTATTGGTTTTGTAACACACAATTCAATTATGTCATTTTCGCCATATTTATTATTTCTATTTTTTTAATAGAATCAAAAATGAAAAATTGCGAGGTTAGCAACGAGATGTGTTTCGAACAGGGTGCTGTTGGTCGGGTGGACTTAGTAATATTGCGAGTAGGGTGTTTGCGGTCCGGTTTGGGCGGTTTAACCCCTCAGACCACAAACCAAACCGTAACGGCGGTTTATAAAATTTTCAAACCGAGCGGTTTGACATCAAGTGCCCAGACCGGTCAAGCCAGACCACGAAAAGACGGTTTGATCTGACCGGTTTAGGCTGTTTGGACCTTTAATGGACTTTAAATATTAAACTTGAAAAAAATATACATAGTTTAGAATTTTAAATTAAATATCCATTTAAACAAAACAAAATATCCAAACAAATAAATGTAATAATTAAATAGCTATTGAGTCCAAAATCCAAGCAATCCAAAGTCCGAACAAATAAATATATAATATATATTAGAAAACAAACAAATTAACAAAGTTATAACTCCACTACGTGTATTGAGTAACAAAATCCACGACTTCACAACCTTCAATTCTTGAGTCTTGAGTTCTTAACAAAATCGATAGATTGATAGAGTTTTTTAAGGATTTCAAAATTTGGAGACCGTCAATGTCAAATGTGTCGATATTTTTAGTGGTTTAGGGATTTTTAGGCGCCGATTCATTTGGATTTGATTATGTTAGATGTTAGGATTTGATTATGTTAGATGTTAGGATTTATGTTGGGCTTAGGGATATATTTGGGCCATAGCCCATAAGTAAAAAAGTTGAGCTTGCTAATACTAAAATAAATATATGTATATATATACATATATGTATTTGGCGGTCAGTTTGGTCCAAACCGCCCAAAAAGAGTTCCATACCGCAGACCAGACCAGACCGCCTGGTTTTGCTATTTTCCAAACCAGACCAAACCGCCAGACCGTTTAAACCGCCAAAAACGGTCCGGTTTGACTTGGTTCGACCGGTTTGAGCGGTCCAACGATTTTTTTGAACACCCCTAATTGCGAGTCTCATAACGTCCAATCCACTAGCCTAGTTCATCGATCAAGGACATGCCTCTTCGTGATACCTCTCATTACCACATCCTAAGCAAATCTGGTTGTTATTTGCGATCGAACAATCTCCCGTGCTTCGAACAAGGATGAACAGGCTGCCCTTGCCACCGTGCATGACCCGCATCACCATGTCCTCGGCATCGGTCACTGGGTACTGGCCTCGGCGTGCGCAACCAATCGTGCTTCGAACAAGGATGAGCAAGTTGCACACTTACATGGTGTTGCGACTTGCGAGACCCACAACACTGTATCGTAAAATATAGTTGTTTATAGATATTATATAGTTTAAAAACAATTTAACTTATTATATAATATAATACATTCATATGGCAGAAGTAAAATTTAACGTGTTTATGAAAATAGACATATTTAAACAATAATTCTTTAAATTGGAAACTATAAACCCGTAGGTGGTGTTTAGGTTACATAATGAAATCTATCGAGATTGAAATATATCAGAAAATTGGTATATAAAGGAATTAGAATGGAATTTGCTTAAATTATACATAATATACAATGATAATATCAATAATAATTTTAATTGGTGGCAGTGGTGGGTGGTGCCAACGGTAGTGGTAGCGTCGTCGTCAGTAGGTGTGGCGTTGGAGGTGGCGATGGGATGGCGACGACGGTGGTGCTGATGGTGACAACGACTACATTAGTGGTGGTGGAGGCGGTGGTTACGACTATTGTGGTATCACGAAATAAATTAGAGTAAATATAAAAAAGCATAATAATTATTCTTAAATAATATACGATATGCAAGAATTTGAATTCTTTGCTGAAACAAAAGGAATTTAAATCCCGAAACAAAAGGAATTTAAATCCCGTTATATGTGGAATCCGAATTCTGCACTAAAGGGGTGTTTGAGATTACTTATAAAAACAACTTATCGACTTATTTCAGTGTGACACCGGTAATAAGCACTTTTGAATGTTTGGATAAACAACTTATACCGGTGCCAAACCGGTAATAAAAAGTTTTTAAATGAATTAGAATGAAATTTGCTTAAATTATACATCGGTAATAAGCACTCATGTGGGAACCAGACAGTTAGGCCAACCATCTAGATATGCACTTGATTTACATTTTATATGACGTTCTTTTGAATAGACATGTGAACAGATTTGATGGCTATGAATTACAAACCCATTTTTGCATATGCGAAAAGATCACGTGAGAAAAAAAATTATAGTGAGAAACGTAAAAAGAGATCTGAACCCTTGATCTGTTTTAATCTCATGCTCACACATAAAATTATGCTTTAGAAGAGAATCAATCCGGTGCATTTCCGTATACCTCATTAATATTGACATTTAATATTGATCTAATGATTGAGATATCTTCTTATACTTTTCACCATAACTTTTTATCTGATCGAAATCTTTTAACTCTTTTACATATATGTTTTTTTAATACAATTTGACCAAAAGAGAAGATTTGCAAAAAAAGCATTTTTTAAATAAAGAATATTAAAATATTTTTTAATAATAAAAGGGGGAGGCTAATGGCACCCCTATGGGTTACCATTGGCACCCCTAAGTAGCTTCAAAATGATTTTTTTTTATGGYTTTTCGTGTTTTTTTTGTCTTTTTATTATTATTACTTTTTATTTTATTATTATTTAAAGAAAATTTTTATTAATATATATTATTTATTTTATTTTCTGTTTTTTTATTTATTTATATTATATTTTAATTAATATAAATTATTAATAAATATATATTATTC